CACCCAATTCCGACACACATTTTTGCTTCAGCACGGAAGATGCTAAGAGACACACTTTTGCTTCAGCACGGAAGATGCTAAGAGACGTGCTAACTTGAAAATGTGCACAGAACCCCATTCCGACACACATTTTTGCTTCAGCACGGAAGATGCTAAGAGACGTGCTAACTTTGAAAATGTGCACAGAACCCCATTCCGACACACATTTTTGCTTCAGCACGGAAGATGCTAAGAGACGTGCTAACTTGAAAATGTGCACAGAACCCCATTCCGGAAGACATTCTTGCTTTAAGCACGGAAGATGCTAAGAGACGTGCTAACTTGAAAATGTGCACAACACCCCATTCCGACACACATTTTTGCTTCAGCACGGAAGATGCTAAGAGACGTGCTAACTTGAAAATGTGCACAGAACCCCATTCCGACACACATTTTTGCTTAAGCACGGAAGATGCTAAGAGGCGTGCTAACTTGAAAATGTGCACAGAACCCCATTCCGACAAAAATTTTTGCTTAAGCACGGAAGATGCTAAGAGACGTGCTAACTTGAAAATGTGCACAGAACCCCATTCCGACACACATTTTTGCTTCAGCACGGAAGATGCTAAGAGACGTGCTAACTTGAAAATGTGCACAGAACCCCATTCCGACACACATTTTTGCTTAAGCACGGAAGATGCTAAGAGACGTGCTAACTTGAAAATGTGCACAGAACCCCATTCCGACACACATTTTTGCTTCAGCACGGAAGATGCTAAGAGACGTGCTTAACTTGAAAATGTGCACAGACACCAACATTTTTGCTTATCGCGGAAGATGCTGAAGACGTGCTACTTGAAAATGTGCCAGAACCCCATTCCGACACACATTTTGCTTCAGCACGGAAGATGCTAAGAGACGTGCTAACTTGAAAATGTGCACAGAACCCCATTCCGACACACATTTTTGCTTCAGCACGGAAGATGCTAAGAGACGTGCTAACTTGAAAATGTGCACAGAACCCCATTCCGACACACATTTTTGCTTCAGCACGGAAGATGCTAAGAGACGTGCTAACTTGAAAATGTGCACAGAACCCCATTCCGACACACATTTTTGCTTCAGCACGGAAGATGCTAAGAGACGTGCTAACTTGAAAATGTGCACAGAACCCCATTCCGACACACATTTTTGCTTCAGCACGGAAGATGCTAAGAGACGTGCTAACTTGAAAATGTGCACAGAACCCCATTCCGACACACATTTTTGCTTCAGCACGGAAGATGCTAAGAGACGTGAGACGTGCTTCAATGTGAAAATGCACAGAACCCCATCCGACACACATTTTTGCTTCAGCACGGAAGATGCTAAGAGACGTGCTAACTTGAAAATGTGCACAGAACCCCATTCCGACACACATTTTTGCTTCAGCACGGAAGATGCTAAGAGACGTGCTAACTTGAAAATGTGCACAGAACCCCATTCCGACACACATTTTTGCTTCAGCACGGAAGATGCTAAGAGACGTGCTAACTTGAAAATGTGCACAGAACCCCATTCCGACACACATTTTTGCTTCAGCACGGAAGATGCTAAGAGACGTGCTAACTTGAAAATGTGCACAGAACCCCATTCCGACACACATTTTTGCTTCAGCACGGAAGATGCTAAGAGACGTGCTAACTTGAAAATGTGCACAAACCCCATTCCGACACACATTTTTGCTTAAGCACGGAAGATGCTAAGAGACGTGCTAACTTGAAAATGTGCACAGAACCCCATTCCGACACACATTTTTGCTTCAGCACGGAAGATGCTAAGAGACGTGCTAACTTGAAAATGTGCACAGAACCCCATTCCGACACACATTTTTGCTTCAGCACGGAAGATGCTAAGAGACGTGCTAACTTGAAAATGTGCACAGAACCCCATTCCGACACACATTTTTGCTTAAGCACGGAAGATGCTACTTGGAGGATCGGCGTGGTTATATCTACTTGGCGCACTTGCTAAGTACTTGCAGCACTTGTGTCGGACTTATAGACAAACCACGTAACTCAGTTGTGGACTTAGTTTGGGACCCTAAACTAACTCAGTTAGGGCTGCAGGGCTAACCCAGTTAGCGCGGTTCCGATAAGTGGAAAGTCGGACTTAGGCTAAGTGGGCTAAGTGGGTTGGGGCCTCCATGGCTAAGTGGGCTAAGTGGGTTCGGGGGGCAGGAAAACTGAGGCTTAAATGCGCTGTCATGGCGACCTTTTGCACTGTTTAAATCAGGGTTCCAAAGGCCAAAAAAGTTTGCTTTGTTTGTGTGTGGGTATGTGTATGTATATCTATATATATATATATATATGCCATCATATGTATATATATACACATGTCTATATCCACTATATATATATATATATTGTCTATATTTGTGACTGTGTATAAAGTGTAAGTATATGTACATGCATATGTAGATGTTTATAGGTATATACGTGTATATGTATATGTTTCTGTACATGAATACATATATACATATATCTATATATGTATATAATATATGTGTATATGTGTCTATATATATATGTGTATATGTGTATATGTGTATATGTGAATATGTGCATGTGTATATATGTCTATATGTCTATATGTCTATATGTCTATATGTATATTTGTATATATGTATATATGTATATATGTATATATGTATATGTCTATATATATATATATACACTCCTGTGTATCATATATATATATATATATATATAAATTTTCCCAAGAATCACAAACGCTATACACAATTCAACCTTACGTACATATCCCTGTATCAACCCTCAATATATACCCCTATATAATAAAAGGATATATATAAATATATACACACACTTAATTTAAACACCCTATACATCTGTACAGACCTGTATATACACCACTGTAAACCATAATATTTCGATCTATCTATATACAGGTGTGTATATATATATAACATTGACCTCTTATGGTATTCCCTATATACATAACCACCTATATACAAACCAAACCCCCAGAATCCATGGCACAGCGGTGGCCGCAAAGAGCATGACGTAGGCGGCAGCCTGCATCGGACAGGGGTCGCGGGGCAAAGAGTCAGAAGCAGGGGGTTGACGTCCTAGCTGATTCGGGCATGCAGTTCTATAGAACAAGAAATGTGTTTATATGTATATATATATATATACAGGCTTTAGAAGCGCACGCAGACAAGAGCACTCTACAACCACTTCCTGTATATAGAAAATACTTCATCAAATGGTGCAGTGTTCGCACGATGCTTGACAGTTTGGAGAGGGGTGGAATGACTTATGAGGCTTATATATACTAAATCAAATATATTGCATGCGAACTCAGTGGTATACATATTCGTTTGAGGCCCGTTTTTTAGACATATAATGTTCATGTGTTGACCCAAGTTTGTCGAACGATTGCGATCTTTTGTTGCGATGATCCGCGCGGTTTCGGGAAAATGGTTCGCAACATCCCTATGTATAGAGATGTTTGCAAGCTGGCTGTGCGAACATGTCCTGCACAGCATTCTGCGAGATATAGGCACCCTGCAGAATGGAGACATCTGGAGAACCATGCCCGCATCTTCACATGGGCATACTGAGCGGTATGACCAAAGCACGGTCACCCTCTGTCTTGAAAGCACAAAGTCTGCAGATGTCTTCAGTTGCTCGGAACACAGGCTCCTCACAGGTTTGAAAACGATTTCGCCCCAAATCGCGCCAGTCGGACATGCACGTGTAGCCGTGTCCGTTGAACTCCACATGGAACCACACCTGTGCCACTGATTCGCCGTTGGGCGCACGGACCACGACCACGTCCTCTCGCTTGCACAGCCTGCCATTCCCGACGTGGCACGACATGCTTACGAGCAGTCCAGGACAGCCTGGCAAAGAAAAGAAATCGCAGAAAGCGCTTTGCACCAACCCGGCGGCAGCCTTGGGGTTGACCAACCCCGTTCTCCTTTCGGAGAAAACGAGGAGGTTCTTTAGGTGTTCCTCCAATTCCATTTCCAGAATGTGTTTTTCGGATCCTGCCTGCATGGAGTCGAGGTTATTCGCGTATCTCTTTATCTCCTTGTGCCTCCTCTCGTGCACGAAGCACGAGAGGAGCACGCCATGACGCCGCAGCAGGTCCCCCAGGTGCATGTTCAGGTGGTGCTTTGGAATGACCTTTTCCACCCCGTAGCATTGTTTGAACAGCTCCAGGTGGGCTGCGATTTTCTGCTCCAGAACAGCAGCTAGGTTTGAAGGATCCTGTGGTGCCGCCGTCTTATAGAGGAGGTCCAGGACTTCGCAAAGAATGAAAAAGCAGCGGCAGCATTCCCTGCACTCGTGGTCCCGGACGCTTGGCAGTTTCTCCTGCAAGAAGGCCCGCATCACCGGGTACAATGCCATAGCCTCCGACGACGCGGATTTGAACTCGCTCATCTTCTTAGCGAAGACTTTCTTGACGGAGGCGCCTTTGTCCCCAACCGCAGACGGCCAGCGGGAAGCACTCACGAAGCTGTGCCTGCGTGCATGGAGAGTATATACACCTTATATATCTATATACATATATATATATATATATAATGAAACTTATGAGAAACACATATTATATTAAACCTCCTTATAGCTGGTATATGTTGGAAAATGCACCAAAAAACCCTCAACAACCAAACCACTTACAAAAAGCAATTGTCCAGTGGCATCTCGTCTTGCTGTATGCCCTGGCTTTGCAAAACTTGCAGCAGCATTGTCATCTCCGCATGAAAGACTCCAGCCACAACAAAGTTGTGCATGTAGTCAAACATGGTCATGGAGATAGGTCTCAAAAACTCCCGCAGTTCAGGAGAAAAGAGCGCCCCGTGCTCGCAGAAGTTCAACCCCAGGGCGAATTGCCGCGTTTTAAATGTGCCCTTGTTCATCAAGGGCCGGCACTGGGCGAGGTGTTGTGCCGCTTCCTTTATACTGGCGTCCGTCTGCTGCAGCATTTGGCTCTTCTGGTGGCTGACATGGCTCACCAGACTGCCTGTTGCGTCCGTGGTGTGCAAGCCTGAGGAATGGGACACAACGTTTTGGCACATGAAGCAGAGCTTCGTGCCGCTGGCTCCTTTGTCTTCCCAAACACTCTTGAGTGCTGCCTCGTCCGCGATCAAGAGGCCTCCGAATATCATACACACGAAAACATTCCAAAACCACAAATGTGTATATGTATATATATATATATATACAAACAATATACATATATATATATATATATATATATGTATATACACACTGCGGAAAAAGGGTGCGTGTGTGTGTATATCAATATATATATGTATATATATATATACCCACACACATATACATGTTTACACATGTATAGGATATACACATATTCAAAAAAAATACCTCCATGTGTATATATATATGTATATATATATATATATGTATATATATATATATATATATGTACTTGCTTCGTTTTTCATCGATTGTGCGTATATGGTGAATGTTTGGAGCTTGGGGTGTTAATATGTCAACACTGCATGACCAAGCCGCCCAGGCGGCAGCAAAGCATCCAGTGTCGTTGATTTGGCATGGGCAGCCTTACGCCGTGCAGCAGCTGATCTCGCCGGTCCAAAAGGAAGATGCCAAAGATCCTGGTATATGCCATGATACTTTGTAAATACATGCATTTATATACATGTCCATGAGCATATACATGCACCTCCCCTATATATATATATATATATAGATAGATACATATGTAAACATGTATACATCTTGCACACATGTCCCTTAATACACCAACAAAAATCATATCTGCAATACGCGGACCTCTTCATGAGCTGCGTCATGCCGTCTGTGAGGCGCTTGACATCGGTGGAACGCACTGCAGTCAGCACGAACCACGAGTCTTCTTTGCTCAGCGCCAAGCCCCCGAACTGTTTCAGGGAAAAGTACAGCACTTGGAGCTTGCGTTCGTTTAACGGCTTCAGTTGATTACCCGGAGAGACTTCGTCCACATAAAGGCATATATCCCATGGTTGCCGTGGACTGCAGGGGCTTCTCGCTGCACAGTTCTGCAGGAACTCCTGGAAGCCACCCCCTTGATTGCAGGCATGCCAAAGCAACGCCAGCGGATCGACGTAGCTCACCTTGAGTGGCGGCCCGTCCTTCATGGTGAAACCAGTGAGTTCCTTCCACAGTGGCCCGTACGGAGTGGCGAGGTTCATCTTCACGTCTCGCTTCCGTTTCAAGGTGGCCCTGGACGTTGCGGGTTGGTCCTCCTCTTCCGGCAGCAGCTGTAATATCTCAGCAAGCGCTCGCTGCGACACAAAGGATTTGCGATGGGCCTCCAGGATTTTGGTGGCTGCCATCTCTACCGAGGCTGCGAGTGATCTCTGCAGCTTTGGGTTGGCGGTTATTGAAACAGCTTCAACCTGCCACCCTCAAAAAGTACAAGACGTGATGCTTCACGCAGACTCAGTCTGTATACAGTCTTAACTGTGTGTCAAGTCAATGAGTGCTATATAAAGCATGCATGCAATTGCCATGTCATCTGATATATATCTGAGGTATATATTATATATATAGTCGTACATATATAGAAGCTTTGCACGGTGTCTACAAGCAGACCTTGACGGTAGACTGTATATATATCCGAGTTTGCAGCAGGATCGCTTTGAAGCACATGCACTGCGGCATGAGCCCGACTGAGCATGTTGCGGCTGCCATCGTAGCATGTCAAGTTCGCTCATCCGGTATGCATGCCTCCTGCAACGCAACAAAAGAATGCAGCATTCGGCAAAGTGTCGCATGCAACTCCTGCAGACGTCTTTTTTTGCAGCAAAGTTCTGGCTGGGTTGCGAGATCGGCTCTACAATCGCATCCGCTCTGCAAAATCACGCAAGAATCATCGTATATGTATGTATATATATATATATATATATGTATACACATTTAAACATATGTATATATATATATATATATATAGGTATGTACAGCGTGCAATGCATAATACCGCTGTATATACATGTATGTATATATATATATATATATATATATATTTCTGTAGACAGAGAGACCCGAGCAATGCATGCACGGGTCAGTTTGCGTGAGAGCCAGCGACATGTAGATGAACAAGAGCCATGTACCAGGGCGAAAAGCCCATGCAGGCAGCTTCGATGTCAGAGCATCTATAGATACATAGAGACATGAGCAGGTGCCGATGATGCAAACAACATATGCAAACATTGCTGCCCCCCATCTATAGATATATCGATATACATGTAAACAGGCATTCTCTGCATACAACAGTTATATCACTAACATTAACAGTATAACAATGACAATTGCAATGGGAATCTAACCATAACATAGCCATGTATTATAGCACTAAAAAACATGTAACGATAACAATAACAAACATAACAGCAACAGTTTACCACCAAAAAACAACAATACAAATAATAGCAACCACACTATAGCAGTCACATGTAAGGGAATGGAAATCTGGCTACAAACACAACAAGTACGTATATGTATGTAATATATCAAGACACAACAAGGACAACGGGAAAGCCGAAACAAAAACACTATATATATATATATATATATATATATACATATATATATATACATATATATATATATATATAGCAATGCAATCACCAACAGCAGTAACACGAAGCTGCACTCTCTGCTCATGCCTCCTTCCAGCCGTTCTTCTTGGCCTCGCCCCTCGTGCGGAAAACTCCACCGTTCGGAGAACGATAGTACGTGTCGGTTTGCCCGGCACTATTCCCGACTTTGCGCTCACGTACCTCTACAACCCAGCCCTTGTTCGGACCTGCCGTCACAGATGTCATCTTCGCCTGGGACTTCGCCTTCGCTTTGGCCGTGGACTTGGCCTGAGCTTTGGCCGTGGACTTGGCCTGAGCTTTGGCGGTGGACTTGGCCTTCGCCTGGGCTGTGGACTTGAGGGTTTAGGGTTATATAGGGTATATATATATATAGGGTTTATATAGGGCTTACAGGGGTTATAGGGCTGAGGGTTTATAAAGGGTTTCGCCTTGGCTTTGGGTTCAGCAGTCACTGCGGCCGCGGGCTTTTTGAGAATGCCGGCCACCTTGTTCTTGCTCGTCTGCTCGGCGCGGTTGTCCACCGCATTCTCGACTGCCTTGGCAGCTTCTTGTGCGCTCAGCGGCTGACGATCAGGAGCACGTTCCTCCTTGGGTGGTGATGATGTGTCCGGCATCTCAAACGTCAGGGCGCCAGGCTTCGTTGCTGATTCCTCTGGCTGCGTCGGAGACTGCAACGTTGGCCGCTGCGTCGCAAGTGACTGCTGCGGCGGGGGCGGCGAGTCCTGCTGCGAATCGGTCTGCTGATCCGGAGCCTGGCCAACACCGTGCTTGCCTTGCCCCTTTGGCGGTTGCAAAAGCCGGAACCCCGGCAAGTCCAGGCCAGCCGACCCGCTGGAACCGGCGGAGCCGCCACCCATATAGCTCATCATCATGGATGCAAACTGGTTTGCCATGCCCGCGAACATCTCTTGCTGGGTCTGCTGAGTCTGCTGCTGCCCGAAGCTTGTGCGCGGTTTCTTGTTCGGAAGGACCATCAGGGCGTCTTGTGGCCGGAGTTCGGCACTGCTTTTCCTCATGATGGTGGCCTGCACATTCGTCCCCTGGATGACAACCGGGGGATCGTCAGGCTGATACGCTGCCGAACGTACGGTCTCCGACAATTCCTGTTGGAACGCAGGGGCAATCCAAATTCACGGTCTCATACCAAAATATGAAAAACCTTCTATAATAATGAACAGTATATATATATATATATATATATACATTTAGATACATATATACAGAAACCGTTTTCAGATACGCATATATATATATATATATATATATATACGCAATACGTACATGTCTGCAGCCTCAAAGAAGTTGTTCAGATATCTTTCCATACACCAACACAACCAGTCACAACCAAACGCAAGTATACAGAATTCTATGCAACTATATGTACCTGTCCTCTGGACTGGCAGGGAACGGGTTCGGCAATGCGATCGTCTTGGGAAACTTCTTGACCCGAGTCCTCACCATCTTCTTGAGCAGTTGCAGAAACCCGTACTTGTCCGCGGGAGTTTCCAGGGCGAGGCCTGCCGCCTGCACTGTCTTAATGACCTCACCGTATGCTTGCTCGCTGGCCAGCCAGAGCTGGATTTTGATCATCCGGCTCGCGACGGCATCTGCCTTGCAATGCTGAGATATCGCCGGGTCTGCCAGGATTGCCACCTCTTTTTGGCTTAAGAAGGGGGCGAAGGTGAGCAAGTCCTGGTTTGCTCGGCGGACATGTGCCCCTGGCGTGCCCCCTCGGTTGGCCAGATTGTTTGAAAGGCAGCCGGCCAGGACCGCTCTGTCCTCCGGCTCCCACGGGCCCTCGCGGACGATGGCGGTCACCTGGATTGCGTTCTCCGGCGTGAGGCCGCGGAAGACGCCGATCTCGTCCAACAGCTGATTGAGCTGCGTGCTCTTCAGGGCTTTGTACGTTTTTTCATCCACGTCCCCTTTCTGCGCCTCCACAAACCCGTTCACTGCCTTGATCTTACCTTCCAAGTCTGCGAAGGTCCCTGCCATGGTTCGAAAGGCTAAAAGGGTATATAGAAGCACAGCTTGAGATCGGAGCAGGCTGCACACACGTCCAAGCGAGTTCGTAGACCCTGCTTGCTGATCCTGCGGCCATGGCCTGCAGTATCGCACATGCATGCCCTGCGTGGAAGACATGTCAAGGCACACGCAAAGAGGCGCAGCATCTTCGCTTTTTCAAGAACTGGACTGGTTGCCTCTTCAGAGAAAACGAGGGAGGCCGTCGTGCTGCAACAGGTTTGAATGTCTATACCTGTTCGAAAATCGTCATTAGATTTGACAGATTTATATACTTATATAGACCCATACATACATAGATACATACATATGTACATGTACACACACACATGCATATAAACATACATATATATATATATGTAAGCATATGTACACAATATATGCTGCTTATGAGTCCACAGGGAGAAAAAACTCTCGGAGCCGGCATTCGCCTGCACTCCGCTTGTGCCCAATCCTGTATTTTGGGACATAGCCAGGGGGCCTCTCATCCATAAAAACCATACAGTCGAAAATTGTGAGGGGCCTCTGACTGTGCGCAGTGCTCAAGATCTGAACACCTACATCCGGAGGCAGCATCAATCCATCCGTCACGGCAAAGAGCAAGTCATACATAGAAACTCCGCCATGCATTGATGGAAGTTCCAGATCGAGAGCCACGTTGTTGGTGGTCGCGTACTTGAGCTGAAACCTGTCGCAGTGTCTTGCGGGCATTACATATATATATATATATATATATATATATATATCTAGATATAGATATAGATATAGATATAGATATAGATATAGATATATATATATATATATATAGGTATATAGGTATACATAGGAATTTATAGGTACATATATATATATATATATATATATATATATATTTTACACACCAACTTGCAATGCCAAGCATGGCACCTTACCGTCGTTCGAGTCAAGGAGGCATAGGCCTTCAGCACGACGCTGCGTTCTGTTCGCGGTCGGAGCGCCAACTTCTGAAAGGGAAACGAAAACGACTGATAGACTCGCATATCCTGTCTATTCGCGCTGATGAGTTTCCAGAACACGCCCTGAAAGATGATGTTCCCACGGCTTTGCAAACCGGCCAACAGCAAGACCATGTCCGCCGGTAGCAAGACGTTCTCCACGGCTTCCCATTCCTGGGGAATCAGCGAGACGCCGTCGCCTGATGGCTGTGGGTTCTGGACGTACTCCCACGTCCGTGCCATTATACACTCTGCGTACTCAGCGTCTATACCCTGACCTTGCTTGAGCGAGGTTGCGCATATATACACCCCTGCTCAAACGTGCTTGGCGAAACTATTTCTTCTGCCAGCACACAATGCATCGCATCCATGAGCATCTTTCTCCCCAAGGACCCCCCCTCCTCGGTCTGTCTTTTCGGTATATATGTTTACAATGCGACATGTGCACATATATACCGCTATATAGCTGTCATCCCCCCACACAACACTTACGTGCACTCCCTGCCCTCTTCCATGGCACCTCCCCTTTACTCCTTGTCTCTTGTTACCTCCTCCGTATATACCAAAGTATCGGAACCGGCCCGCCACATCCATGCTCAGGCATGCTCTATATAATGTACCTGCAGGCAGCTTTCAGGACACATGGCTTCAGTGTACAAGAAGCAACACGTGCAATGCAGTCACATCCATGGCAAGCTTGTAAAACATGGATCGCATCTGATTTTTTGGGTGAAGCTATCCTGCAAGTCGCAGAGATTCTGCACCACCTCTAAACTGCATATGTACAGAATTGCTTCAAAAGACTTTGGTCACGGAGCAGAAACTCATATACAAAGAAAACATTCAGAAAGGGTTGAGAGGATGTTGATTGCTATGTAAAAGCACGAAGCGTTGTCAGGAACGAGATATATATATATATATACATACTATACATACACACATGTTTATGGCAGTAGCATCTACGGATATATTTGCGATTTATTATCTGTTGCCGATCTAGTCCGTGACCGGTAGGAAAAACTCCCTGAGGCGGCACTCTCCTGGCTCCGTCTTCTCAAGGATGCGATAACGTGGCTTGTAATTTGGCTGTGATGACCCTCGAACATACAGCATACAGTCAAACACAGACAAAACCCTCTCATCGTGCGCTGTGCTCATGATCTGCAAGGCCGCATCTTCAGGAGGCTTGATGCTGTCACGGAGGTACCACTGCAACTCGTAAAAGGAGATGCCGTCCACCCCATGGATCCGTATGTCTGCAGCCACATTGTTTGTCGCCTTGTATCTCGCCTGAAACCTGCATGGGTTTATCAGGGCGTGGAAGCGAGACTACATGTTATATGTATATATATATATATATATATATATATATATATATATATATACGTATACATATAAATATGTTCTATATAGTCTTATTTCAGCATGTTCTATATACACGTATATGTATGTGTGTATATGTATATATATATATACACATATATATATATATACACAGTGTGCCATGTGTTTATGTATGTATGTGAAACTATATATATATAGTCAAGCAACGAAGAGGAATTACGAAACTACGTGCTTCCTATCAATCAGAATTGCAGAGGCATCTCTCTATATGTCTATGCGTCTGCACAGGGCTGCCATGCTGAAAGCCCAACCTTACCCATGTTGTTCCTCGGATGATGGAGGCGTACACTTCCAGGATGATGTTGTAGCGACGCCTGGGCCGGACGATGATGTTGTTGCCCGGGTTCGTGAGGGACTGGTAGAGCCGCATCTCAAAGGTGTCTGCAGTGAGACAATGCCACGCTTGCCCTTCATACCAAAACCCATCATCTTCCCGCCCGTTGTCCAGGCCAAGGATCATTTCGTAGTTCGTGACCGGTTGCCACGCTTGCTCCACCAGGGAGACGCCGTCTCCGGTCGGCCGGACACCACGGCAAAACTCCCATTGCACTGCAGCCATGGCTTTGGAACGCAAGAGTCCTGCTTTTAGGCCGCGGAATGCTGCGAGGATCGCAACATACATGTGCTGAGCGAGGTTGAGACCCCTGCTCAGTGTGCTTGGCGAGGCTTCTCTGCCAGCACAGTCGCATGCACGTAATGAGATTTTTTGTGGTCCTTGCAAGCAGCTGACAATCGAGGCTCTTTGAAATCAAAACTGCAGATGCGACGAGGGTCTGCAAATCAGGTTGTGTCCATGACTGCACCTCTCTCGCTAAAAGTTCACGGGTTCAAACAGCTTCTGAAGTGCGACCGTGTTGGCAGCCGTTTTCCTGAGGACACGCTTCCGCGGCTTTAGTGCGGCGTGTGCCCTTGGTCCCCACACAAACGTCAAAACTTGGCTCAAAAGCCCCCCCGTCACGGAACTGACCAGGATCACTTGCTGCTGGCGTGTGATGAGGTCTGCCTCCGCAGCTCTCTCCTTAAAGGATGCCTCCAAGTCACGGATGCTGATGTTCTTTTGATCGCAAAAGTCCACGGTCGTCATCAGGCGAGCAGAGGAGCACGACACAGCCGAGAACCTACACTGTGCGGGTTCAAGTTCATGTTTGTAACCAGGACCCTTCCCATATATTCAAGCAATATACAAAGGTAAATAGCATACAATTCCATGCAGCCTCACCAGACCCTCCTCAGGGTTGTGGTCGGCGTGGACGCACCACATGAAGTTGTCCTTGACTTGGCGCAAGAGAAGCTTCTCCATTCCCGAGTTCTGCCACAGGGTCAGGTCCGAAGCCTCGTCCTCCACGACCTTGCGGAATCGGCTGTACTTGCCCTTCGCGCGGATGACGATGAAGGCGTTGTTTTCCATGAGTCGCTGCGAGTTCGTTTTCGAAACAGGCAGCCACTCCTGCGACTTCGGCAGGTCATCGCCCCACGTCCACTGTCCGGACAGCACGGCCATCTCCCACAACTTCCCGGCCATGGTCGCTGCTTCTAGGCTACAGATCTTTTGTGCTGTTGCGAGAACCTCTGCAATCAGCCCGGCAGCGGAAAGATGTCCTGCTGCCAGAATATCAGGAATGGAACGGAGTGTTGCTTCACCTGCATCTGCTATACCTTTCGACATCTACTAGTACAGTATACTATACTACTACTACTACTACTACTACTACTACTACTACTACTACTACTACTACTACTACTACTACTACTACTACTACTACTACTACTACTACTACTAGACTACTACTACTACTACTACTACTACTACTACTACTACTACTACTACTACTACTACTACTATACTACTAGTACTACTACTAATAATAATAATATAACTATACCGCCAGGATGACGACCATATACTACTATACTTGTACACCATATATATGTTGCATTTCCAAATACGTTCATGCATGATGCAGCAGGCTTGGGGTCGCTGCATGGGTTGGCAGAGAGGAATCGCCGACCGACCGCAACGGTAACAAGAACAAGTAAATGCTATACTAGGACGTATACAGCTACTACCAGGTATAGTACTACTGTACTACTATACTACTATACTATTAGTACTACTACTACTACTACTACTACTACTACTACTACTACTACTACTACTACTACTACTACTACTACTACTACTAATTACTACTACTACTACTACTACTACTACTACTACTACTACTACTACTACTACTACTACTACTACTACTACTACTACTACTACTACTACTCCTACTACTACTACTACTACTACTACTACTACT